TGTTAGAAATGCAAACCCTCCAGGCCCACCTTGTATATACTGAGTCAGATTTCTGTGGGTAGAGTCTAGCAACCTGTGTTAATAAGCCCCGCAAGAGGCTCTGCTGCCCATTAGATACTGAGAACCACTTCCTTTTGAGTACAAACTCGAAATGCTTCTTATAGCCCTAGGTTCCTGGTGAAGCTATTTGTAGCATGGAAATAGTAATTTGCTAAGTAGTAATACACTGACCTGAGAAAAGATGCATGTTTTTTAAAAGCAATTGTTTTTCTAATCTCTAAAACACATAAAAATCATTCCTCATTGACAACATATTGCCCCTTCTTCAAACAGTTCCTTTTCTATTAACTTTTCTTCAAATCTCCCAGCTGGATAGTCTTAGTCTGTGTTCTTTGTAAGGTACTAACCCCAAGTAGTATGTTAATAAAAGACATTTTAGTTTGCACGATAGACATGTAAAATTTACTTGATGTGGACATGATTACAGAGTTTGGCTATCTCTTGGGGGAAAGAAACACTGCCCAGATGACAAGATCAAGGTCCAGGTTCTGGATTTTTTGTTGTCTGCTCTTTGCAATGCTCTGATACTTCTAGGTTTCTGTTGTCATACACAGATGTTAGATGAGAAAGAGCTTGCAGGTCTTAGGTAAAGGCTTGGAGGGGACAAGTACAAAAATCACTGAGCAAAGCATTCTAAAAAGGAGTCTTGCCTGATGAATCCTCTTACCTCTGTTCCCTTTTGCAAAGCTTAGGAGGCCTTGGAGAAAAGATTATTGTGTTAGTTTGTTAGGGCAGCCATATGAAGTACCACAGACTGGGTGGCTTTGTGAACATGCATTTTCTCGCAGTTTTGAAGTGGGAAGTACGAGATCAAGGTATTGGCACTGTTGCTTCTTCTGAGGCCTCTCTCTTTTTCTTATAAATGGCTGTCTTCTCTCTATGACTTCACATGGTGATTTTGTGCCTGTCTCTGCCTATAAGGACAATAATCATATTGGATTAGGTCCTATCGCATAACCTCATTTTACCTTAATTACCTCTTTAAAAGGCTCTATCTCCAAATACAGTCACATTCTGAGGTAGTGGGGATTGTAGTTTTAACATATTAATTTTGAAGAGACAAAATTCAGTCCATAACAATTATGCATGGCTGTGACGACTCATTTGTAGATTGAACTTGTTAATGCTTCAGAGTACAAATGGGTTGTAAACTTGTAGGTGAAATCTGGCTGATGTATTCCATCAGATAGAAAGATAGCCCTACCACATTCCAGCTGAGTCCCTAAAGCTACAGATATGCTCCATTACCATCCCCAAATGCCAAAGAATGAATGAGCCATCTAGAAGAAGGCAAACAACCACATTTGCTAAAAGGATAATGTTTCATCCATTAAACAAATGCGATACCTTTTTCTAGCCTGGTATCAATATAGAAGGCATGTGAAAAATGAGTTAGCTGAGAGTTAATTGACTGCGGAGACTATTTTCAGTCTCTCCCTGTATTTTCTGAATTAATATACACAGTGGGTGATTCAGCAAAAGGGTTTAAAAATAAATTCTTTATTGAAAGATCCCACCAATTTGATGTCTTCATAATTCGTGAAGAGTAGACCCATAATAGCTCTATTTTCTATTCAACTTTGAAAATAAAAGATGCCATTAGTTTAAATTAGGCTTGTATGTGGAATAATCAAGTGTATCAGCAAATATAGTTTGACTCAGATGCTGTTTAAGACTGAGAATAAATGCCAGAAAATAACTGGCTATTTCTTTTAAAAAATTAAATATGAAAATTGTATTGACAAGCTAAGGTAAATGTATTTTAAAGAGTTGATAGACAATATATAAATTTATAAAATTCAATTACAATAAGCAAATAGTTACTGTAGAAGAGTGATTCTTTTAAAGCATACTCTTAGAATATAAAGAAAATGTTATTAGGGTCCTGGGTATATTTGTAGAATATATGAGCCCTCAGGATAGTTGGTGAATATGTAGGTATGGGGCTGCATATTTATATGCCAAAAAGCATCCTTACATTGCTGTATTGGGGGCTTTTTACCTTAGCTAGAGAAGGTCCACGTGGAAAGAATTACAGCATAAAATATGTTTATTTCATTTATTTGTTTCCCCTGAGAAGTTCAAACCCCCAGGGAAGTAGACTGTGGATAGTATTTTATCTCCTCTAGCTGTGGGAAATGAAAGGATAGAGAAGTGAATTGTATTTGTCTGAAGCTTTCAGAGCCAGCAGGCACATGGGACCAGTGCTCAGGTGTCTATTTCCAGGCATTATTCAGGAATTTGGTCTCATAATTTTCTCTAATATTACATTTTTGTTTCCACTGGTCAGTGACATAGTTAAAGGAAAACTTTATGAAGCCTTAAGGTCTTAATCTAAACTCTAAGAAGGGAAAGAGTAAGAGGTTATATACATGAAGGAATACTTTTTACTTCAGAAATCTGTATTTTCCTTCAGAGTGTATAAAATCGTGTACTTTTAATCTGTAGAATAGTTTTCATTATGATCTGTTGGTATACTTTGATAAAAACATCATTTCACAGGTATATTACATTTGTGGGTCTTGTGTTTATGGTGGTTTGATCTTTTAAAAAAAAATCTAAACCTTATTTACCTACATCAGTTGTTGACTTTGCAGATCATGGAGAATACAGAACAGTCATGCAGAAAGTATCTGTTTGTCATCCTGAGAGTTTAGACGTGAACTGTAACCAGTGGCCCATTAAGTACCTTCTCTTGTTGTTTAAAGCATATTCTAGCTTTGCAAATTAATTGTTAATGCAGAATCTTGTAACAGAGCCATGAAATGAAATTCCTGTTACTCTAGTCATAGCAGAGATTGCGTCAAGTACTCTGAGTTGTGTTTCATTGTTTTGTGATTCTGTGCTATTGGAAAGTCTTGCCTAGAGAGTGTTTAAAAATGAGTAAGTCAAGAAATAACTCAGTTTGCTTTTCTGGATGGTGTGTGTGATTTTCCATTTATAGTAATGTGGTAATAATTTCTGAGAAGTAAAATTCATTTTCTTTGTTTATAAAAAAAGTTACTTGTCAAAATACTCACAAATGCTTTCCATAAGAAAACATTTGACCTTTTTTATTGCTGTAAAAATGACTACATATACATATTTAATGAAGTAGAGGACATTCTTATAATATCGATGTAGTAGGACAATATGCATGTCATTGACTATTGTTGATAGTCCAGTTGTGAGTTGTAATTCACTATAGAACACAGCAATGTTTAATTTCATATTTAAGACAGAGCTAAATTTCAATTTAGAAGGTTCTTATATAAAAGTTTCAGGAACACCTTTAGAAACCAATTAAGAAGGATTTTTGTCTTAAGTGTTTATGTGCCTGGTGTAAGATAGTTACACCTGTTCTAATTTTTTTTTCTTTTTCTGATTTTTACTTCTCACATATTGTATTAATGGTGCTTGGTATGGAAAAAACAAAAGATGTAGTGGCATTTTCTTTTCTTGTCTCTTATTTTCTACTTTAAGATACATATAATTTTGCAAATATTTATTTACCTTAGTAACTCAAACCTAGTAAACATTACAGCTAGTTAATGGGTTTGATTGTAGGTACCATGAATGATTGTCTAGTAAAGAGACGGTTCAGATATGATATTATTTTACTGATTATTTTCCCAACAGAGAAACTCTTGGGATAAAATAGAGCTCCAAAAAGAGTATTTTGGGGGAGATGAGAAAGGGGGGATTGGAAGTTTTTAAAGAGAATAATCTTGTGTGGCAATAGGCATGAGGTAACAGGCATTTTGATAATATGAAACAAACAAAATAGCTTTGAATGGGTGAGTATCTATACAACTAGGTAGAGTGAGAACATAATGAAATCCCTAACATTTAAAACTAGCAATGTAAATTATAAATGTATATTATCTTTTAGCAAATAACTATGCCTTTCAATTTTCTCGGTGGATGATTTTGACAGTCTACTAATGCTTGAAGCTCTCAGGACAGAGTGTTTACCCCCTTCTACTTCGAATCATTCTCAGAGAATGCCAAGGGCTGGAGATACTTTTATATAGCTGATAGCAGGGAGAGGATCATTGAAAGAAAAGCTAACATTGAATGAACACTTACTATGTTGCAGCCACTGTCCTTAGCATATTAGGTAAACCCATTTTACTTTCACAAGGACCCTGTAAAGAAGACAAAATTATCCTAATCTTATATACTTATGAAAATTATTTATATTATAATTATAATATAAATAATTTGTAATATATTATAATATATTACAAAAATATTTATATCACTACAAATACAAATAAGCCACTACAATTAAATAAATATATTTATAACATTATAACAACATTATAGATGATCAAATGACACAAAGAGCACATACTACTTACTTAGCCAACCAGATATATATCCATTTGGCTAAATTGGAATCAGCCACGGTAGTTTGGTTCCCCAGTATATTATTTTAACTACTATATTACCTTGCTCCTGAAGCCTAATTTAGTGGACTCCCAAAGACATGAAGGTTGATTGAAACAGGATATTTGATATATTTAGCTTCTCATTTTTACAGATGAAGAAATTGTGTCTTAGTGAAGTTGGGTTAAACTGTGTACGGTTACAACACAGGGTGAGAGTCAAGGCTGGATGCAGACCCTGTTCAGTCTAGCACTTAGGTCCATGCTTTCTTCCATGAATCCTCAGGGTGCATGTTACTGTGATCACAATCACATGTGATCCTCTTTTGGCTGCCTGTGACAGCCTGAAAAGTTTATTTTTGGAGCTCAACGCTTTGCTTACGTAAAGAAGAACATTCCTAAGTTACAAAGAACTGGTGAAAGGAAATCACTCCGGTGTGAAATGGGAATTCAGAGCTTGTTTCCTTGGTTTATCCATGCTCAATTGTTTGTGCCCCGATATTCATTAGGGTGTTTTAAGTGTCTTCACTGGATTACAATAACATGGGTTTTTTTCCATCTCTCTTTCAGGTATGGAAAAATTGTATCTACAAAGGCAATTCTTGACAAAAACACAAATCAGTGCAAAGGTATGTGTAAGGGCATCTGTACCCTGAAATCTTGCCTCTGCTATCTGATTAATGGCTCTTCCTTTGTAGAAGTCCAGGTACCAGCTACACAATGATCATAATGCATGGTATATGGCAAGCCTCTTTAATGATGCCAATGTTTAATAAGTTGTATTTCTAGTAACATTGCTCGTTAATTTTTTTCGTTAACAAACAAAATGAAAATCACAAATCAGAACAAGTATGAAATTGCTTCAGCATAAAACTGCATTACCTCCTAACAACTATGGGGTATCCGATTTGAATGATCATCAGTGATGCAAATTGATTTCCTATATAAAAATGTGGAACTCTGGGGAAAACTTCCCCATGCAAAACACATTTTAATTTCTCTGTTCTTTAAAGCTTTAGCAACATTGGTTGACTAGGAATAAATTTACTGATGGGCCTATTGTATTAAGCTTCAGCTATAAGCATCTCACGGGATTTCAGACTTGGCATCTTATTAAGACAGGCTTTTTGTTTTCCTGGAAATACTTCTGAAGTCATTTGACTATATCTGTGGCTCGTGTTTCTTCATGCCTGGGATTTCTATATTCTTTTAAAAGTTGCATTAAATCAATTGTGAAATCTGTATGGTCACTCTTGCATGACTCACTTCTGACTGGAAAATTACAAGAATGCTTCTTGTAACATGTGTTGTTTGTTGCTCCTTTAATCCAGTCTTTGTTGTAACACTGAAATCAAGAAGCATAGTAGAGCCAAGTTCATTGTAAACACTGACCCTATTTTCTATACAAATATAATGTGCACAAGTTTTACGAAAGGGTACTCAGAAACTCCTATATATGTATCCCCTCACCTACTTGTGTAATGGTAGCCAGATTCAATTCAACGGTTAAAAAAATAAAACATTCCAGGACATCTGTAAACGGAAAAATGAACTACATATTACAAGACGAAGAATAATATGTCGTGATTTCTTCCACCTCATAGTTTCAAGTCCTGGTTGAAGAGATACCAGTAGAACCAAGAAACTAATTCTAATATCCTTATTAGGATTACTCGATCACCCTAATACAGGTGAGGGTGTAACAGAGGTATCAAAAACTGAATTACCTACAAACTACTGCTAGAGGAGAATACAGAGATTTCTTTTTGGGAAATGAAGTTTATAAAGTTAGGTAGAATGGGTGAGCTTGGGACAGGTGGATGTTTAGGAGAAATAATTTCAGAATGTAATTGAGTAGACCCACGTAGCTGTAATAAAAAAATTGTACCAATGAGGACAGAAAGAAGAAAGGAGTTAACATTTTGTAGGCTTTTAAATGATATGCTGGATATTTTAAATTTTAATTCTGTAAGCAACATAGATCTCTTAATAGTTTTCAAGCAAAGTATGATTCTATAGGTGTTTAGTAAATGTATTTCAGCAAAGGTGCATGAAATTGAATTGTAAAGTGAGAGAGTGGAAGCAAAAAAAATGTGGGTTTTAAAGCAATAGTACCAGAGGGAAGTTAAAAAAAAATTAACTATTATTATTAGCATAATAGAAAGGGGTTCTCCATGAAAGTTTTTAAAGGTAGAAGTTGGCTATTTTCTGTAAAGGTGAAAAAGAGGAATGTATGAAACAAAGCCTACATGTTGAGTCTTCTGATTGGGAAAGACACCTGTGCCACTTGCTGAGGCAAAAAGTCCAGAAGCAGCAGTAGTAGGTTTTGGGGAGAAGCTATTAGACACAGTGAGTTGGAGTCTCTGGCATGGCAACCATGTGGGAGATGTCAAAGAGGAAACTGTAATAAAGCCCAGGGCTACAGATGCTGACTGAAGTCAAAGGAGAAGATAAGATTGCCAAAGAATAATGTGTGGAAGAGGAAATGGAGCAGAGTGCAGTAGGGTGGGCAGCTGAGACCTTGGAGAACATATGTGAAGAAAGTTGGGCCGTGAACGAGGGATGTTCTGTCGCTCTTGGCCTGCGGGGAGCATGTGGGATGTTAGAAGCATTAGAATGCTAATTCTGTTGCTACTAGATCTGCCCAACCCATTTACAAAGTCTTGGGTCAGGCAGTTAATAATAGTGATCAAACACCAATCAGAAACACAAATACTGCATGCTGAGGATAAGCAAGGCAACGGGAAGCTTGCACAGATAAGCAACACCTTGAAACCTCAATAGATTCTATTACATGACCGATAACTGGAGGGGTCAATATGAAAAGATCCTTCCCTATGCAAAGTTGTGCTCAGTCACACAGATATCTGTTGTCACAGTACAATGCTGAAGACCACAGAAGTGTAAATTGCCAACATGCAAAAACTGAACTCTTCTATAATTGTGAAGGTTTGAAGAATGAGGGATGTAACTGAAAATGGTGGTCAGGGTCTCCATAAGCAAATTATATAGTGGGAGTGTGGGTGCTTATCTGGACAAAGTGTACTGTGGGTTTCCTGACCTCAACTCCTAATGTCCCTATCCACACTTTTTTGCAACAGCTTATTTAATTTTCTGTTTGTGGAGAGATTCCTAAAATCAATGGAAATAGGATCTGTGTACTATAGAAGACTTACCTCTAAAGTGGGATGTGTGAAGGGTGATACAAGAGTGTTTACTGGAGATACTAGAAGGAAATGTTAGAATTTGCATCTCTCTTTGTTTTACATCAACTTTTTATGAATGTCATATATTATAATCTTAAAAATAGATATATTTTAAATAAATATGAAAATATTAGATATGCTGCTTCAAAGTACTTTATTCTCTAGTGATATGAATAATGATCTCACTAATGAGTATGGAAGAAGAAAAGGAGTAAGAGAAGGAACAAAAAAAGGAAAGAAGAGAGGGAGGGAGGAAAGAAGGGGCTGTGGAACAACCTAGGAAAATCACTTATAGAAAGGCATCTGTAAGAAATTGAACAGCTGTTAGACCGTTTGCCCTGAGGGTAATATGAAGAAGGCAAAGTGATCATGTGACCATTATATGCTTATAAAAGCCTCTTATGAAAACCTCCCGTTGCCTTGCTTATCCTCAGCATGTGGAGTCTGCTTAGCAGTGTTGAATGAATCACAACCTTCATCAAGCATATCATGGGAGAGGTACCCTGTAGGGCAGCAATCATGATCAAAAATATACTACTATCACTTTCCTGTTTTAGAAAAGTATTATTTTAATGATACACTCATATATATTAGAGTATTTCCTTTCAAAAGATAGATCTTGACATAGTTATGAGAAGATATGATTAGAAAGACAGCAATTATAGAAAATCGTGTGTAACTGTTCATGATGACCATGGGAACAAGTTGCGGAGGTTGGGAGAAAGATATGAGATCATGGAAGAGTTCACAGAGCTGATAAGAATGAGTATTGAAACAATCATCTAAGCATTTATTGGAATTGCCAAGAAATGAAGCAGGAGTAGTATAAGAAAAAGTGACTAATCCAAAAGGTATCTGTGGAGAAATAACGGGATGGGAAATGATACTAGGGATCTGTAGACCATGATCAAAATGACGACTGGTTGGCAAGAAAATTTGATGATGTGAGATTCTAAATTGGAGATTTTAGGTAGGGGAGAAACCATACTGAGAAAGGAGGAAAGGGGCTTACCACTTACAGGTCCAGTGGGAAGAGGGATGTGGGAGGAAAAAAACCACAAAAACCTCAAATTTGAGAGGGCTGCGAGGGGAGTCATGTCCTCAGGGTAAATTAGGTAATGATGGGAAACGTGCAAATCAAAGCAATTTGCAGTGACCGTTCATAACCACTCAAGTAGCAAACATTAGAACATGTTGGCCATCCAATGCTGTTCACTCTGAAACTGGTTCACCCATTCTTCATTGGTACCGTGCTAAACTGGTACAGCTCCTTTAAAGTCAGTATGGAAACAGCAATAAAGGGCATACCGTTGACACTCGTTAGGCTGTTGAGAATATTTATTCAAATATTTTATTTAAACACATTTTTAAAAATTATATGTCTATGTACAACTCTGAGCACTCTCATTTTCCTTACTGGGAAAAAATATAGGAAGCATCCAAAGCCTAGGTTATGGAGCATATACAACTGTTATGTAGCTGTTAAAATGGTAGTCGTAAAGACTAGACTATGCCAAGCCCTAGAAAGATGTTTATTATATGAAGTTAAATCAATATAAAAGGATATAAAATAATGTGCACACTGAATATGGAGCTGTGTAAATATTTGAGAGTCAGAATCAGCATGGCTATGACTGCGGGAGAGCCAGGCTGCCTGGTTTGAACACTGCCTCTTCACTTAGTAGCTGTGTGACCTGTGGTAGGTTAGTCAACTGCACTGTGCCTTAGGTTCCCCATCTGTAAGGTAATAACAGAACCTCACTCATAGGGTGTTGTGATGATTCACAAAGTTAATACATGCAAAATGTTTGATGATATCTCCTTTTACTTTTGTATAAAATACTGGCAATATCAAGCAATACAAAAATATTTAAGGTAGTGGGATTATGGGTGATATATTATTATTATCTTAACGTTTCTCCAAATCTGTTCTGTTGTATTTTGGGGCAAGAAAAAAAATACAGCTCTTGGAAAAATTAAGCTGGTTTTAATTATGTTTATATGTTGGTCATTCTTTCTATGGAATCTGAGTAACTCATGACTATATGTTTCTTGGATTTTATAAAATAATGCCAGATGAAAATAGCAAAGAATTAGGAGAGAATGGCATGCTTTGCTTTTTGTATAATAGGCTTGAGTACTTCTTGACCATTGCTTTATTTAGAAAAGAAATTACAGGATGTGTGAGGTGGCATTTTCAAACAAGATCATGAAGAGCATCAAGACCGTCATCATTAGAGAACACAAATTGGATTTGGTCTTCTCTGTGACACTTGATTTTGAATCATTTCCAACTTTTTCTCCAGGCACAGGGTATACAATGAAATCTAAACATTATGAATGCAAGGATTTGTTTATTTTTATGTTTAAAGATGTGATAGGAATTCAATTCTGCATTAGCTGTTGCACCTACAGCATATTGT